AAGTAGCAGCGTAGGTATCGTTTTGAAATAATTATAGTAGTTGAAATTTGTGTGACGTATATCATTACAGCACATTTTTCGTACGGTGATTTTCTCTCCTAAATATTATGAAGTGTGTGCCAAAAAGCTATATTTAAAAGTTTTTGGGAAAAGCGGATGCGAGTGATGCGACCGTATGGTATTATTTTAATATTATTCATTATATATACATATACCTATAGGTGCGCGTGTTCCGGACACGACTCCCGAAATACTTGCTCTGCAAGTCGGTGGCGGTAAATATAACGTCATTACGCATTATAATATACTTTCTCTTGAAAATATCTATGTATGTACGTGTGTGCATGTGTGTGTGCATACTATGGCACACGAGCAATAAAATATTTCAAACGGTCATCCAATACGAGAAAAAAAATAATAAAAATAAGGACCTCACGTATTCTTTTGAACGAGAGACATATCTATAATATGTTTCGCAACGCACGCTATTATATTATTATTATGTACCGATTACCGTCGTTGGATTTCGTCGCGTACGTGAAGAAAAGACTAATATATTATTATTATTTCCACAAACTTAGAGCTGCAGAGAAGTGGTCCCCGAGAAGATATTTCACTGTATTATTATTTCATTGAAAGTGACCGGGTCTTGGTTGTATATTTTATTGCAATGTGTGCATTTTATAGTTAGGTACCTACGTCGCTGTTTTAAATTCGTTGATATTTTTTTAGTAATTCTTATTGACGAATCACAAGTATTATTGAATTGTTCCAGTAAATTTACTTACGTAAAACGATCTGATCAATAGTGATAGTGTACCTTAATATTAATAACTATTAAAATATTTTAACAGATATTGATAAATACCACTATCTTGCAACAATGGTTTGAAATTTAATCATATTATTGAATTGGTAAGATGGTAATTTGATGGTAAATAAAGTAAAGCTTTAAAAGTTCTTAGTTTCGTTAAGAGATTTTCGATGAATTTTAAACAGCAATCTACTGTAATGGCGCCACATTGTGCATTATAGTAGTGACGCAGTGGCGCAGCTAGAATTTTTCTATGAGAGGGGGGGGGGGGGCTGTTGATGTGCTTACACGGAGTTAGTTTAATTAGGATCTCCCATAAGTTTAGCATACCGATGCCGAGATTTTATTTTAGGTTTCGGTTCCTGTACAGCTACACAAATTTGTATTTAAAGTAACTTCCATAGACCATAGAAATAATTTTTTTATTTTCTTAAAATGTCGAGAGAAGAGGAGAGCTACAGCCCCTAGAAACATAGGCACTTTGTTATTAAGTAAAATAGAATAAATTATATAATTTACTCACCCACATTAGGTTACCCAGTGTAATACCCGTCAGATCCCTTATTTCTACACGTTGGCTGTTACTAATATGGACCCTGCTTCTTTTGCCGCTTAATTATTTGATTATATAAAATATAAAATATATTATATCATTAGCGATTTATTAATTTTAAGTGAGACATGTAAATATATTTCCAATGGGTAATATCTATTTATTTTATTAAAATTAAAATAAAAAGTTATTACACAAAAAATTGAATTTTAATATTATAATCTGTGTTTAGGGGTTATGTAATGATTTGTGTTTTGTTTTAATTATTGTTATTTTTTTTATGTATTTTTTTCCAGTGAGAAGTTGAAATTTTTTTTCTGATTTTTTCATTGTATTTATTTTTATTGTACCAAGCCTTTATTTATGATAGTTCCATTCCGACTTTCAGATGATTGAAATAAAATGTTTACGTTAAGTATAAGATACATAAATACATAATAATTATAAATCAATAAGATATTCTGAAGGTAAAATACAACAATGAGAGGTTGCTATATATTTAATATTATTATATAAGTTAGTGATGGTTCTTATACTGTTGCGGGACCGCTAATTTTGTTTAAAACTGTATCAAGGATTCACGTAACCTAATCATGTATTATTATTATTTATGTATAATTTCGATGAAAACTTGTATGAAAATTGGTTATTTGGTTAATTCTACGAATTAAAAAATGTTTTCAAATATTATATTCAGACTCTTCTAATCTATGGATGGTGGACCAAAAAGTTGCATATGTGCACATATGTATACATATTAAACGGTATATCAGTTATGAATTATGTAAAAATTCAAATGGTGATTGTATACGGATAGTGCTTTTAATTTAATGAAATACATACTTTTAAATTTTAATACAATTTAGGTCTGCAACAAAAACTTTGTGATAAACGTCAATGAAAATTGATAAGAAAAAACAATTAAATTATTATCGATAATGATCGTATCGTTGTAAGACAGACCTCAAATTAGACTAATGTTTGTGTTAGAATAACAAGAGTACACTGCAGTGTCGTCTGTCCACCATAAAACCAGTACCTCACCTGCGTTAATATTTCGAAAATAATATTAACGGCGATGGAATTAAGTATGATTTTGGCATAATAGTATGGCGCAAGCGAAATAACATAAGTAGTCGATTCAGAACAAAAATTCATGAAAATTATATTGTTTGATAGTCAAGTTGTATTGATTTTTCATCATTTAGATTTTGATAGGTAAGTCGACTATATTATAAAGCATGCAAAATCGCTCTGTATAAACGATGTGACGATCAGCGTCAATATTAGGTATATAATTATATTAGTTCGTGTTAAAATACTTCGTAAAAACGTCACATCGTGTTTGTGTAAATACGAAAAAAAGTAACAAACAAAATCATTTTGTCCAATTATTGGACACAATTGATAGGTAGATTTAACAGGCTAGGCACATCGTAATACATTGAACCCAGTGACATTTCGTGTATAAACGGAACGTGATTTCCTAGAGCACTACATTGCGAAACGGCCAAGTTTTATCGAACGAACGAGGAATTAGCCGTGAAACGAGGACTTTGAATGCGTTTACACAGCATCAACGACTCGCACAGAGGCGGTTTGTGTAATGGATTAAAATCACACGTAATCCTTATATACGGACGCGCACGTAGGTACATATTATTAAATTATAAGCGGTATTCGTAGGAGGAGCGGTGATGGTGATGGGGGTGGTGGTGGTGGTTACGGTGGCGGTGGTTAGGGTGTTTTATAAGCTTCTCTTGCAGCTAGTTTCCCGAAAAAAGAAAATGAAAATAAATGTTTAAATTACCGTTATTCAACGTTGGGCTCCAGAATCGAAGATTTCGTTTAATTACCTACTGTAGGTACTCCTAATGTATATACTACCTGGATATTTTTATTTAATTTAAATTATTAGGCACGCAATAATGTTGCTTAAGTACATGAGTTGTAATGGTTTTTACCATGGTAATGAATAAATGAGTTTTTGTACGCTCGAGAGACCTTTCATTTAATGCTATTGATTTGATTTTAGTTTTTTGAATAGTAGTATTGTTGAATCAATAAAAAATCAAAAAATAAGCATGAAAGTAATAATTTGTTAATATAAACATTTTTAACTATTATTTTTTCATTAATTATTCATTATTTAAATGGTAGGAAATTGTTTATTCTGTTTTTGTTTTGAACTTTGTACAGTATTAAATAACAATGGTAAACTAAATTTAATTCGATTAATGTAAAAGAATTATTTGTTTTACTTAAAAATAAAATATATACTATCGAGGTTGGATTTGATAAAAGAGATTTAGTTAACCGTATTTGCAGTAAACTCTGTTAAGTATTTCCTGTTTGGTATACCTCCCTTAGTCTGTCATAGTATGATTAAGATATTTATGTAATTTAGTGTTAAAAAATATTTACTATACCCTTCTCAGTGTGAATGAAAACTGTGTATGGTAACCAAATTATGGTACTGAAAAGATAAATTATTTATATTGAAGTTATTATATTTTTACTAAACATTTGTTCATATGCATAGTCAATTCGTGTGCCACATAAATTGACTATCCATACTGGAAATTATGATATTTAGAGTTATTCAAGTGGGGAAAAATATCACAATACGAGTAAATCTCAAAAAAGTATAATGTAGAAATTGAATATTTGAATCGATTTAAACTATAGCAAATTGGATAATGTAAACATCTTGTTTAATAGTTCCGCGTTAGTTGTGATTAATTTTTGAAAGGTTTAAATAATAGTATGTACCGATATTTATTTTATTATTAAAATTGCATGAGCATATCTGCATATGAACTACCAATATTCATGTTTAGAATGAGATCAATATTGTTATCATCTTTTCAGAATGGCGGTTGAGACAAGCCTATACTAAACATATTATTTTCTTAGGGTTTTATTTTTGGCCATAAATGGTGCATACTCGTGGAAAAGAAAGTTTCAAATACTCTAGTGCTATTTGCATACATAATGTACTGAAGTGCGAACAAGATATTGTACATTTAATAATAATATGATTAACATGTGTCTGTTGCCGAGCGTCTTTCTTCATGATCGGTCTTTTGTATCAGTGACCTCAAAGTACACTCAATGCTTGCTGAAATTTTGTTTAAAATTTCTCCAATATAGACCTCAAATACTAGTTAAATACATTGATAAATTTATTTGATTTTTACAGGATGAATGTTTGGGGATGATTTTATGGACGATCAGATTCGGGTGGTCGTAAGTCACTGTGTCTCTCTCAAATGATTTGGAATTTGGTACACTGATATTTCACAAACAAGCCCGGAGAGCCCACTAACACACGAACACACATACACACACACACACACACACACACACACACACACACACACACACACTTAAATTTGAATTAAGAAATACGATAACTGTATTCGCAAAGTATTATCCAAGTGGTACTGAGAGACCTTGCATCATCACCCACGTATCTATTTTGGATCTATCAAGTGGTGGCAGCAGACAGACTGACAGTCGTTAAATCCAAATCTGCTGTTTTGCAGCATTCCTCGGAGTAGTAACATCGGTCGCCGACGACCGACGGTGACGGAGATCGCGGTCCCCGTCGTCCTTTTGCGACGGTTGTCGTCAGGATGCGGAATTTGCATTTTTTCTTAGACCGGTCCTCTGGCTGCCTTCTCCGCAGTTGATGTTGCTGTTTTTGTTGTAGGTCGATGTACTCGCCATGGCAATCGATTCCCCCTCCACCGTTGCCGTGTTGCTGAAACTGGTGCTGCTCATCTCGCCAACGCTGCTGTCGATGCCGTGTTTTTTCGCCTGCCTCCAATGAGCGGTTGGCACCTTCAAGTGACCTCTCCCGTTGTCGGCGCAAAGATGGTTCAAGGGTATGCAAACGGTGCCTGAAAAAAATAAAGACACAAACACGAATAGGTACGTCTACATATTACAATAATGGGAATCGATAATAACGAGTGAAACTTAAAAAAAAACATAACGATCAAAAACAGTGGACCTCTGATATCTCTGCCGCTGCTAGTTTGGTGTTGGGTGTAATATTTATAATGTTTTAGTTTTAGACAACAAAGTCCCACCATATTTTATTCGTATGGACGCTGCGGACCATATTATATAGATTGAATTAGAATATAAAAGCGTCAGGTTGAGGTTTCATCATTGTAGTTGGCCGGGCTCTCCCGCATGGTTCTGTTTATTATTTTTTATGTCTGGTTGCTACACTGGAAAATAAGTGAATGCTGTTTTTTAAACAAATCATTTGTTTTTCCCACCGGCTTTATTGTTTTTTTCTCTCACAAACGCAGATTTTTCGCAATGCTATGCCGTGCCACAGAATGGCCATACCAAAGTCATAAACCGTCTGCGAAGCACTCGGTATACCTGCAGACGCGATTAAACGTTTCACCCGGTGAATCCGAGGTTTATGACCAAAGCGTTGGTATAAAGTGTTGTATAATATATACAAACGAGGATGCAAAATTTCCGGTGGGATTGCTAGTCGGGCTTAACAGCCGGAAGTAAATTGTCAAGCCACTTTTTAGTCATGTGTTCTATAAAGAAAAAAAAACATGGCCATCTGCAACCGTTGCAATAAAATATAAATATTGTTATGTACCTATTACCTGATGCAAATATGAAAAATCTAATCTGATTTATGGTTAAAAAATCTCAACCCTCCTCCGTGCTCGACGGTTTCGCGTTTAGCGCAGTTATATACCCACACGCAGGTTTGGTTAGATTAGGGGATGCTCGATGCTATTTGCTGTTTCCACATTTATTTTTCAAAATAATTATAGTAATATGTGCAATATAATCGGTATAAATATTAACCCATAACTATATATTATACAATCATATTCTGTATTTTATACCTACCATTAGTAGTAGGCACCCTACTCATAGATTTATATCGGTTCACTCGACGTTAAGACGATAACACCTTTGTACCTATATTATATAATATAGAAGAAACTTCTATAAGTTTAGAAACTTTATTTCTCCCACGTTTCACATTATATAATAATAACATGAACGTATGCCGATAAGAATGTTACTAGATATAGAATTAGGTAAGTACCAAAGACAAAAGGCAAAGACGTATTATGTACTACATTTTTTTGGCTGAACAACGCTGTAAAAAATACGAAAACCTATTTCAATTTGGGAAGTATATATAATGTGTTCCACTATTATTTTGGGAATACGTGCGGTTTCTGGTTATAATATTATGATAGGTTAAAATAATATACATTTTCAAAGGGGCATGAAAAATTTTAAAAAAGGGACTTAGTACTAATCAGATACTGTATTGTATGTACTGTAATTAACAATTTTGAAAAACGTTAAAATGTAAAATGTATAATATAATATATATATTTTATACTGGCGCACTGCTATGGACTGCAGTAGACGATAGACTGTAGATGGCGTAACATTTTATTTTCTGGTGCAGCCGCGTAAATTCCGTCTAAGACTCAGCGAGTGAGAGAGATTATGGCGGGAAAACCAAACAATACACTGTGAAATAAAAATACGCGGCATCCCTGTATAATGTTTATATATATGTATTGGACATTGAGTAAGAATGTTTTGAGTCAGTAGGTATATATATATATAAGCCTTAGGCCACAGCCGTCTTAACACGGTAAGCTTGGATAATGGTCAACATTTATAAGGGTTAAGCTTGCTTTTTACGGATTCAAACTTGGACGGAGCAGCGTTGTTTTAGGATATTACACACGTTGGCGATCGAATAGGTATATTACAATATTATAATAATATTATATTCAATTCTACAACATCGAACAATTTTCAAAAAAAGTACGTTTATATTGTTTTTGAATTGCAGAGTTTTATTTTTAACTGTTTTAAATTATAGTGAAATACTGCTTTTTATCAGAATATTAGTTTATTTTTTTGGTTAGTGGATCTGAGGTTTTAAACTTTTTTGTTTAATATTTATTGTTTTAGAGTAGGCACCCGGTATACGTAGCCAAGTTCTGTTATAGGTATAAGTTATAAATTATAAATTATATGATTAATCTAATATTATATAAAAATCTCTTGTCACGGCGTTTGTGGTCGCACTCCTCTGAAACGGCTTGACCGATATTAATGAATATTTTTGTATATTTGGAAGGTATGAGAATAGTTCGTAAAGTATTTTTCACCCTCCTACCCCCAACCCGGGGAGTGGCTCAAACTGGGTTTTTGAGATTTGAGGTGGAAATTTTTGTTTATAAATGGTTGCTATTGGTTTTGGTTATAGGAGAAATAATTAGTAGAAATTATTAATATTTATTATTTGGTTGCCATTGGTTAATAGGGCAGATTAGGTGCAAGCATGCATCAAATCAAATTTTCACACATTGCCTACTTGATATGCTGTCGCACATTGTCCACATTCAAGAGGTTGTAGATTAAAAATGCCATTTTTTACTAAAAATATGTTATTTTTTGGTTTACAGAAGTAAAAGAAGGTACTATTAGTCCCACTGTAAATAACATACTGATTTACAAACGCAATTTATTTTAAATAGCTTCTCTCATTTCAGGCATCCAAGAAGAATATACATATATAATATATATCTTATAATTTTGATACATAAATATTGAATATTGAACCCATAGCTTATTATATTATACATTTTAATAATTTAAACTTCAGATAAGAGGAGTTTGGTGGCAGGGAATTTATTGTATACTTTCACTATAAATAATAAACTATAATATTAAATAAATATATTCGGTGTTTACACAACAACATTTTCCGCTCCAAACATAAGAGCATAAAAGATTAAAAATAGTTGAACATTTTTAGTTTTGTCAAAATAAGTTAGCTACAGTGAGATAAGAACGTGAAATATAAAATCTGCTTAACGCAGATAATTTTATTGTGAAACTGAGTCTCAAACATGAAACTTTTGAAGTCAATTTGTTATAACAACAGTCTTCTGACAATCTTTGCCAATGTAGCAAAAATAACACGGTAGAAAAAAAAATTTCATATATTATACCTGAATAATAAGCACCTATAGGTAATAACTAATCAATAGGTAATAGGCATATAATTATATACAATAATACGATATATTATTATAATACCTATATTGTTTTATCACGAGCTTTTATTTCAATTAAGAATCTGTAGTTGGTAGAACTATAGAAATGTTTCAATTAAAAAAAATTAATTCTAGGTGAACCACTGAACAATAAAAAGCAAACATTTTAGTATTTTACTTCCCATTAAAAAATAAAGAAAAAAATGTAATAATACCTGTTGAAATGTGAATTATTTAAATTATTATAATATTACAATAGTATATACTAGTTGTATGAGTTTAGAATATTGTCTTGGTGCCTAATATTAACTTTCTGTGCAATTGAGATTAACTGTAAAATAAAATTGCATTAATTGAAGACCGTCATTCGGCCTCGTTTAAAACTACTATTCCTAGTACACTATATACGTTTAAAAAACTATTTGAAAGGATGCCAACTCAATGTTTATATAATTATATATATATAAGTATAAACTGACTCGACATGACGTGTAGGTTTGTTATCTTCGTTTCTCACTCACGTATAAAACTGAATATGAACACATATAGCTGTCATACACGATAGGTGAGTTATCTTAGAACTATAACTTAAATTAATAAGAAAAAGTGTTCAACGTTTCTCATCACTGCATCAAGGTTAGGTACTGAATTATATTTGAAACTCTTTTCTGAAGGGAAATAAGAATAATCAAAAAAACTACCGACATTTAGCTTATAAACTGACTTTCTAAACATTTTTTTAGTTGCTCTCACTTTTGCAATGTTTAGGAAGTTATCTCAAAAACTATCTTGAAGTTTGAAAAATTACCTCTTTTACAGTAGTAAATAATATAATAATATTATATTAAATTTTATAAATTGAATTTCTCGTCAGAGTTTTTTTTTATACAAGCGAAGAATTATTCTTGTTTAGCCGGAGTTTATTATTATTATTGTTATAGGTAGTCATTAGTATTGTGGTTTTCCAGTTCTGAATGTCCGATTAAATGATAAATTATACTTGCTATGCCATGGGCAGGGACTAAACAAACTTTACGTTCCCACATATTTCATATTTTACAGACAAACAAATAACAACAATAAAATATTTTTTAAAGAATCTGGGTGATTATAAATTTATTTTACTCTTCCGCATCTGTCACTGCAGCTTACGAATATTAATACAGTCATTGTCGCCTCGTCGGGGAACAAACTTTTCCATGGATAAAATAATATTGCCGAGTAACCGAAAACCTCGTTTCTGGTAGCTGTAATTAAATCATTTCCGGAGATAGCTCAACAAAATCTTGGAACCGTCGTTATCCGTGGCTCATTTGAAATAAAAAATAATATAAAGGGTAAAAAAAAACTAACGTTTGTTATCACCCGACACATGGTGGTCGTTGATTACATTTTAATAAATGGACAGTTTATTTGTATCGGTGCTTAGTTGTTTTGATAATAATCCACGTAATCCAATGTAAAATGCACCCTTTTATCCTATAAGTACCACGCGTATTATACACAGGTACATAATACCGTCACTCATCAGTGTCACCCTCACCGCATACATGGTAATTAGTATATATAGGTACATCGTATCGAAGGCGTTTGAGGTTGCCACGCGCCAAATCAAATGTTGGGATGATAATAAAAAAAATGTATCGGTTCATAATATAATGGCTACGAGAAGACTGTCATCGGCATGAGCTCTCCAAATCCCAGATTTAGGTCATATTATATAATATTCTCGGGGTGTAATACGAACGAACGGTAGAGAAAAAAACGACCAACAGTCAAAGAAAAATATTATGTCGAAACACAATCATGTGCCGGGCATTTGT